GGCATGAGCCAGGGAATGAACGGAAAAGAGGAGAGCTTTGAAGAACGGAAATTGTTTTTGATTAAAAAAAAATCATTTTTAAAAGTTAAGAAGACTTGCTAAGTCTTGTGGGTGACAGAACAAAAAGATGACGTATTTCTTCCTTCTCATGTGATACTATTCTCTTAATATCCCTAAGATAGTTCAGACAGCAGATGTGTTCTTACTACAATGTCCTATGGAAAGGCTGTTTGTCTATGAATCTTCATTCTCTTTTGGTGTGGTGTTTCCACATCTGAGTGTAAGCATGAGAATTATGAAAGTAATAGGATTTGCAATCCCAGAATCTAATCATAAGCTTTTCATAAACTTTAGCACTCACATCTCACTGGGATAATGCTGGTATCACTCTGTAAGTACGTGACTGGCATCCCAATGATGGTTAGCCAGTAATATTTCAGCAGGATAGAGCAACAAAAGTTGCTTTGCATAGTGTAGGCACATATGTGGAAACAAAAGCAATTTGCAAATAAACTATAGGTAGGCCTCCTATTTTCTAGTTCTGAGATCTGAAAGAGCATTTTTGATTACCAAATCGGTTATGTCTAACATCGTCTCTTCAAACGTCATTAAAAACTATGTTTAATTCTTAATTTTGAGTTAGACTTGACTGGCGATCTGAAAGTTTAGGTCTTATTCCTTTGAAGGGTTTTCCCTCCTCGCCAACAGGTCTCCTTTGGTGTCCTTGGTTCCTCACATTTTTTTCTCATAAAGAAATTTCTCCACTTTTGCTGGATAAGCCTCCCTCCCTCCATTCCCTCTCCATAACTCAATTGATTTTCGTTCCTTGAAGGTCTTGAAGTTTATATTAAGTACATACAAATGCAAGAGATGACTTAATTCCTGAAATCCTGTCTTAAAAAAATCACATTAATAATAATAACACGTTTCATTTAATCTACCACCAGCAGCAACTTCCACTAGCCTGGGCAACCTCCTCCCCATCTACCTTTCCCACCGTTCTCTGCGAGTCTAACCCATGCCCTGTCCATCAAGCACCTTGCAGGGGAAAACACACCCCCAGGCTTCCTTAGGTTCTCTCCCCTCTCGTGACGATGAAGCCTTTTCTACTTCATCTACCGTGCTGCTCTGAATCTTGGAGAAACATGTTCTAAAACTGTTTCTCTTCTGTAATACCCAAATGTACTGTTAAAATCATAAAGTGGTTTAATATATACATTTATCCAGGAAGTTATGTATTTCTTTTATCAACTAACATGTAAAAATTATAAACTACCTGGGTTATTTAATTTGGAGGAAAAAAAAGCTTGAATGATTAACATTAAAATTGAGACGGGAATATATAATTGTTGGAATCTAGCTAATATTTGTTACAGATTATAAGGAAATGCACTTCGATTTATAGAAAAAGCCTTGAGTGATCTAATAAGGGAGAATCATTAAATAAAATTAAATACCAAAGAAACATATTAAATGATGGGGTGGTTTCTACTAAAGTAAATTAACCCTGTTTTTTCTCAAGACAACAAAATACTGTAGCTGCTCATGTGATTCGACACTCACATTTTGTGGAGACCAAAGGAGGTGAGAAGAGAAAGACAGGCATGGCAGAGAAACACACAGCCATGGAAAGCAAGGCCCAGCAGTGTGGCTTAGCAGACAACACCCTTCTAAAAGCATGGTGGCTATTGTTTTTTAGGGCAAAGATATATTTTTTAAAGGTACTCTTTGGAGACAGATGCTTCATACTTTATTTCATTGGGTGAAAGTGGCATATGAATTGATAATATAGAGCTGAATGGTAGATTGCCTGCGTAGCACAAGCAACAACCAGGATTCAATGCCCAGCCTTACAAAGTAACAAATCAAAACAATGTAACAGCCCGACCAAACCCCAGAAAGGATACATAATATCAGTACAGAATTATGACTTAACATATAAGGTAACACACTGAATCATGAGTTTTAGTTTGTGTCATTCATTATAGGAGACAAACCAAATTTCACAGAGGTAGTAGAACTCAAAAGTTTGTTATTAGTATCCATCTTATTTTATAAAAGACTTAAATCACAGAGTTTTTAAATTGTTTTTTTTTAAGAATTATTTCTTATCAAGATCAACACAGCTTGTTTCATATGATGCCAAGAATGCAGTGTGGAATTTCATAGAAACTTCAAAAAAGTTTATGATTTTTCTAAAGAGACTATCGTACAAAGTATTTTTTCCCTTTTCAAGAGTTGTTTTCTTTTTCTTTGATTTTTTATTTTTATTTTCTGTTTTTTTGTTTGTCTTCTTAGTTAAAATACCCAGAGGGGTGTTTTTTAATGGTATTTTTGAAGAACACGAAAAAGATTTAAAAAAAAAAATAGAAAGAAGTATGGTTTGAACCTAAACTGTCATTACATAGAAACAAACTACCCATGAAAAGAACTGTACACAACTCTGTTTTGGAAACAAAATACAGGATCTCTAAACAAGAACTTCTGCTTGATAAGCACAGACATTCTGCACAATAAATGACTTAGCAATCTCTAGTTAACTGAAATGTTTTATGCTTGATGCTACAGAAACTTATGTAAAGTCATGTTTTTGTTTTTTCAAAATAAACATTTAATGGACTTTGCAAGATGCAATTTAACAACCAGAGCTAAAAACAATGCTTTATTAGAATGACAGAATGAGAGAAATCTTAATTTTTGTCAAGTACTCTGTATATTTTGCACAAAACAGTGACAGAAATTATTTTAGAGGAAAGTTTACAGCTGTTTTCAAAATAAATATTTCAAAAAGAAACTAAAAACATTGTCAAAGTCAGCCAAAATGATAGGAGTATCGTATTCAGAAAAAAAGCAGGCTTTCCTTTAAAAGGTTTTTGCTTTTGAGTCTCATGAAAAAGCTTCATGGCTTTTGCATGGAAAGCACACATGATATAATCATGGTAGCTTTGCATGTCTTCCAACACCTACAAAGATGTACAGAATACTTTACCCAGAGAAATTTTACATTACATGTCACAATTTGAATTTACTTCTCCACAATAAAACATCTCAGACTAAGAATTAGTATATGCGTTCAGAACCAGAAACCTCAAGTAGAATTTTTAGTTCTCAAAATCTGTTGATTTAAAAGACCTTCCCAATGAAGTGCTGAAATTATTTGAAGAACATAATACATTTTAAAAGTTAAGATAAAACGGCATCAGTCATACAATTACAATTGAAAAAGGCATGTAAAATACGTTTTATTACGCCTAATCATGAAGAAGCAGGCTACTCTACCTATCATTGTAGGAACAGAATTAAATGGTTTCAAAAAGGAAACATTTCCAGATTCCAGATTTGTGGCAGTGTTGATAATGAGGCTGCGATAGGACCAATCATGGTAACCTCTCACTTCTATTTTATTGAGTTACAAAATGGCAATTTTACATCCATTATTCCAAAATTATTCCAAAAGGGGTGGAGGGTCGTTCACTCTTGCTTACATGCGTGGGGATTTCTGATGTTTTAATGCACTCTCGCAGTGCAGCCCAAGGCAGCTGCAGCATTTCCCACCAGGAAGGCAAGGAGCTAGGCGGGTGCAAGGCTGGAGGAAACAACCCGGAAGACCACAGTATAGCTTCTTGGTCCTTACCTCACAAATTACCTTTTAAAATCAGACCCGTCAGAATGCAGCTTATTATCTGAAAATTTCAAAGGGGATCTTTTGTTACGGATTAACAAAAGAATGACTATCCCAATTCTCTTTAAAATGCCAGCCTTAAAAAAAAAAAAAAAAAAGAACTCTCAGTCTTTTTGGAAAGTGCTTAATTCATCTGGAGATAAATATCATTTGGTGTCAATGGCCTTTTCCATTGTTTCCATTAATTTCACCCATATTCGTTTTAAAAATAACAAGGCCCCTATCCTCATCAGCAAAGCGCAGAAGAACGATTTATCATATGTTTTAGTAATTACATTCTGATTTACGAAAGATTTTTTGTTTCTCCTTTCGCCTGTTTTTAAGAAGTCCTCCTGTGATTAACTGTAAACAGGAATGGTTTACACCACAAATTAGAAGCCATTAATTAGCATGACGAAGTCAACTGTAAGATACACAGATAATTTAAATTATTTAATCACTAATCGCCTTGGCTAAACTGTAATATACTCTTTCAATAGCCTTCCGTAGGTTATCGACCAGTCGTAATTTACCTCCGTATCAGTTAGAGATAAGTATTAGCCAGCCTCCTTTTCTTTCCCTCAGGTTTACGTTAGCCCTTCTTGTAAACACTTTAAAAAGCTTTAAGGTTCTTCACTCTCAAATCCGTAATTAGCCATCACTAGCCTTTTTGTAATAAGGGGGTGGTGGGGGGGGAGATGATCTGAAGTACAAATCTGGAGTTCCTCTTGCCGGTTTAACAACACAAAAACATTTTTTTTTTTTTTTTCTTTAAACGAACGCTTCAGGCGGCGGTAGTAATAAAAGAAATATGCAGAGGTGGCTTCGGGGAATAACGGGTTTGCAGAAGGCAAGTGGCTCGCACACACACATACACGAGAAAGAGAGAGAGAAAAAAAAAAACCGCCCGAATCTCTACTGCAAATCCACGGCACTCCAATAAATTACACAACACTTGCCCAGGCTGCAGAAATATCGCAGGACAGGACTCCCACAGATGCCAATCCGCAGCATTCTACACACATGCACATGGCAAGCCAGAAAAGCAAACACTAGCGTTCGGGTCGGGCACGGCGGGCGCGATCCCGACCCGGCCCAGCGTGAGAGTGCTCCCCGAGTGTCTCTGTGCGCGCGTGAGAGTGAGCCCCGTCCTCCCGGCATTTCCCCTCTCTGGGCAGTTTTGCTTCATTTGTTTCCTATCTCTGCTACATAGAAACTAACTTCCATCTCAGCCCGAGCCAGCGCCGCTGAACAGAGAGCGCGGTGCTGCGGCTCCGTGTGCGTCAGATCCCTCCGCGCGGCCGCGCCGCCCGCCCTCCCTTTCTCCCTCCCGCGGGGCCGGCCTCCTGCGCGAGAGCGCCGGCCGAGCAGCCCGCCGCCGCGGCCGCGGCGTCCTCCCGGTGCCGCGGGGCAGACGATCGGGCGGCGGCCCGGGCGGAGCGGGGGGCCCGGTGTCCGCGGGCGCGGGCCCGAGGCGGGGCACTCCTTTTCCGCCCCCGCTCGGAGGGGCGGGGGCGGCGAGCGCGGGGCCGCGGAGGCGCGGACTCCTTTCTGCGGCGGAGGGATCCCGGCGGAGGCGGCCGCAGCCGGGCCGCTGCCTGAGAGTTGTTGTTTCCTCCTCCTCCTCCTCCGCCTCCGCCGCCGTCGCTTGAATGGTGGAGCCGAGGCTCGGCTCGTGAGCACACACTGACAGCTACAGGGCAGGCGGCGGCGCCGTCCCCGCGTCCCCTCGGCGGCGGGCCGTCCCGCCGGCGGCCCCGAAGTGACCCGCCGACATGTCTCGGGAGAGGAAAGGCCTCTCGGAGCTGCGATCCGGTAAGTCGGGAGCCGCGCGGGGCCGCCGCCGCCGCCGCGCCGCGCCGGGAAGGACTCGCCCGCGGGCCCCCGCCCCCCGCGGCCGCTCAGCCCGTGTCTTCCCCGTCCCCCCTCTCTCTCTCTCCCCCGCGCAGAGCTCTACTTCCTCATCGCCCGGTTCCTGGAAGATGGACCCTGTCAGCAGGCGGCTCAGG